CAGGTGGGTCTCGAACCCATGGGCTCAGGCAATCCACTCACCTCAGCCTCCCAAAGGCGCGGGATTACAAGCTGAGCCACTGAGCCCAACTGGTAGTGATTTTTTTTAAGAGGCAGGGTCTTGCTCTGTTGCCCAGGTTGGAGTGCAGTGGCATGATAATGGCTCACTGCAGCCTCAAACTCCTGGACTCAAGTAATCCTCCCACATTTGCCTCCCAAAAGTGCTGAAATTACAGGTGTGAGCCACTTCGCATGGCCAGCTCTCATCTAATGAGAACCAATTTCAGATCATTCATTCTCATTTGATCTTCACAACCCTACAAGGTGGCTGTTGTCCTTTTCTTACAAATGAGGAGCCTATATATTCATAAAAGTTAAGTAACTTGCCCAGGATTATATCACTGGCGGAACCCCAGTATGTCAGTCTTCCATCAGATACATGGTCTATGGAAATTCCTAACAACCCCTCAACCTCTCAGAGATTCTGATACTGTCCACACAAGTCCTGAAAGATCCTCCAAAATCACAACAAAGACCATGCTTTTCACATTCTTTGATTGCTCCTCAGAAGCCGGGCTTAGAAATTGCTCATAGGCTTCTCATCATCAAGTATATATTCAAGAAGCAGGGGAAACTCTACATTCCCCAAAGAAAAGAGAATTTTGCCAGGCATAGTAGTTCACACCTGTAATCCCAGCACTTTGGGAGATTGAGGCAAGAGAATTAACTGCCTGAGTCCAGGGGTTTGCAACCAGCCCGGGCAACTTGGCAAGACCTTGTCTCTATAATACATCAAAACAATTAGCCGGGCATGATGCACATGCCTGTAGTTCCAGCTACTTGGAAGGCTGAGGTGTGGAAGGATCACCAGAGTCCAGCAAATTGAGGCTGCAGAGGAGGTTCCCTGAGCGACAGAGTTACCCTAACTCAAAAAAAAAAAAGTTGAGATGGAATTCTCAAAAAAAAAAAAAAGAGAATTCCATCTCAACTTTTTTTTTTGAGTCAGAGTCTTACTCTGTCACGAGGACTGGAGGGCAATGGTATGATCACAGCTATGGCATCCTCAACCTGCTGGGCTCAGGTGATAATTCCATCTCAGCCTTCCAAGCAGCTAAGACTATAGGCATGTGCCACTACACCCTGCTAACTTTTTTATTTATTGTATAGACAGGTCTCACCATGTTGCCTAGGCAGGTCTCAGGCAATCCTCCCGCCTAGGCCTCCCAAAGTGCTGTGATTACAGGCGTGAGCAACCCCGTGGGGCCTCCATCTCATACTTAATGGGCGTTTTAGGTTCAGACTTAAATAAAAACTTAACTTTTAATCTTTTCAAAGTTAAATATCTGTATTCTATTTGAAAACGTGCTTACCTTGCTCAAAGGGGCCAGAATGTTACTTCCTTAATAACAGAACTAATGACAACGCTTTGATTTCCTTTGGGATGTTAAATATTATCCCTACATCCCAGACAGACATGGTGTAATAGAAATTTTTTCCCCAGAGCCAAAGTCACGTGTTCAGAAGACCTGACACCCACCCTAGGTTTGCTCACCAGGCCTGACCACACACAGAACAGATGTTTTGTTGAGTATAATGAAGCTGACTTCAGATATATTTATCAATGTAACTCACTAACTAAATCTCTGAAAAAAACTACTTGGCACAAAAGTATGAATGAGCACTTAGTTTCAAAATCCTACACTCTACATCTGTCTTGTCTAATACTGTAGCCACTACCACATGTGGTTATTTTAACTTAAAAGTTTAGTAGAAGTTAAAATTTAGTTTCTCGATCGCACTAGCCACACCTCAAATGCTTAACGGCCACGTGTTGGCTGGTAGCTATCATACTGAACAGTATAGGTATAGAACATGTCCGCTGTGACAAAAAAGTTCTATGGGATAGGGCAACAATCAGTACTAAGGCGAAATCGTCCTTCACCGGCTGAGTCGTCGGGTGAAGCGGTAGCACAGCTCTTGGGCCGCATGTCCCCTCTAGGCGCCGCGTTCTCCCGGACATCAGCGCCGACGCGGACCCCAGGCGCTGGGAGTACCCTTCACAGGCGGGCGTTACGCCGCGCGGGCGGCCCTGCGAGAAGTCCCAAAGATGACTCGAGTAGGAAGCCCCGGAGGCGGCGCGTTTCCCCGGCGCGCCCGGTGGGGAGGGCCCAGATGTGCCGGCGCAGGTCGATCAGAGGCTTTGGCCTCCGACCTCTCTGCGAACTGAGAAGGCAGCGGGGATAGAAAAAGTATAGAGATACCAGGCGTCCGCCGGCCCCGGCCGTAGCCTCTGGCCTGAGGCAGCGGCGAAGGCGGAGCCCCGGCCAGGCCAGGGAAGTGCGCCGGGAGCCCCCGCCCGCCAGGGTAAACAAGGCCGCGACTTGCACGGCGCACTTACCGGGAGCGGGAGCCCCAGGACCGCTAAGCCGGGACAGACCAGACCGGGTCGGGCCGGGCCAGAGGAGTCGGAATAAAGCGCGGCTGAGTCGGAGGCGGCGGGCCGACGCCGGTCGGGCCCGCGCTGCTTCCTCCAGCGGAGTCGTCCCCGCAGCTCCGGAAGTGCTCGGCGCCGTCGCGTCACTTCCGGCCCGGGGTCGATCAGCGGTCGCTCGGATTGCAACAGGCTCCTGGCTACAGGGGCCCCTGGCTCAGCCTCCTAGCAGCCGGCTCTCTGACCCAGTGTGCCCAGGGTACGACGGGTGCTGCTTCTGGAGGCAGCCGGAGATTCGGCTACTGAAGGGACGGTCAAGGTATCTTTTCCCGCACTCGCTTACCGTCATCTCCCGCCGAGATCTTTTTAACCAGAGCGTTTCTTAGCGGCTCCTCATATCACTGTTTGTTATCCGGTGTTGGGCACGGAGAAATACATCCTGGCGTCGGTGGAATGGAAAACCATTGTTTCCCGGCCGCTATCTGGTCAGCGGGGAGCCGGGCGGGGAATTTCTGCCAACACTCTGAGCGACCCCCGAGCTTCAACCACATCAGTCCTTCGCTTCTTACGCTGCGGCCTCATTCTCCGTACAAGATTACATCTTAACTGCCTCGCTGCAGTTTATTTTTACAGTGTTCTATAGGTATTGCCATAGTAGCGTCTAGTTACCGTCTAGGACCAGTTGTCAAGTGTTTTGAATAGATAGATACGGAGGCTCACTCAAGTTGCTGCAGCTTCACAGTGGAAACGCCAGGGTAAAGCAGGTGATTTAAGGGAGCCGAGTATGTGCAGATCTATAGATAACAAACCAAATCATTTCCATCCACACTCAAGTAGTGCATATACTGACATTTAAGATACCTATGCTCAACGAGCTTTCTTATTTAGTTCTTCCAAGAAATACATGATTTTCAGCTTCCAGTTTAACTCAGACCATGTTCCTAAAAAGCCCCAAATTAATTTGGAGTAAAAATGAATACAAATGAGTGAGTAACATATTGTAGGATTATGGATTTTGTGTAGGCAACATAAAAGTCCATTTGCTAGCCGGGCTCGGTGGCTCAGCCTGTAATCCCGCGACTTTGGGAGGCTGAGGTGAGTGGATTGCCTGAGCCCGCGGGTTCGAGACCCGCCTGGGCAGCAAGACCTCATCTCTACAATAAATCAAAAATCAGCCGGGCGTGGTAGCACATGCCTGTAATTCCGGCTACTCGGAAGGCTGAGGCGGAAGGATCGCCGGAGCCCAGCAGGTTGAGGCTGCGGTGGCCGGGAGCGGCCACTGCACTGGATCCAGTCTGGGCGACAGAGTGAGACTCCAACTCAAAAAAAAAAAAAAAAAGTCTATTTGCTATAATCCAGTGTACTTGTTTCATTTGTTTTGATGAAACATATCCATTTAGGTTGTGGCGATACCAGAAAAGAACCCCAAATATATATATTTTCTGCAAATTAAATCTCAATTAGAAGTTCTCATTTTGCATAATAAACTCACTCCAGCGAATAGAAGGGAAACAATCTTTTTGTAGAATTCTTGCATTTGCAAAGTACAGAATGAGGTTGTTCAGGAATGAAGCATGTGCATGCATATACAGTGTATTGGAATTCTATACACTATCCTTTATTCACTGATCTGTCTTTCCTCTGCAAAAGGTAGGTTTCTTAAGAGTACAGATCCAGTGAACTGAGCACGGTGGCTCACTCCTATAAGCCCAGCACTTTGGGAGGCCAAGGTGAGAGGATTGCCTGAGCCTGCGGGTTTGAGACTAGCCTGGGCAATTTGGTGAGACCTCACCTCTACAATAAATCAAAAAATTAGCCGGGTATGGTTATGTGTGGCTGTAATTCCAGCTACTTGGAAGGCTGAGTCAGAAGGATCACCTGAGCCCAACAGGTCAAGGCTGTGGTAGCTGGGAGCATGCCACTGCCCTCCAGCCTGGGTGACAGAGTGAGACTCCAACTCAAAAAAAAAAAAAAAAGTGCTGATCCAGCC